TGCTGGGCAACTGACTTCTCTCCAAAAAGAAAGTTGAGTCCCAAGCTTGAGGTGGTTTTGCTTGCTGTTCTCCCTCTCACTTCAGAAACTGCAAGCACTGCATCCAGTGAACAGGGTGGGAATGTAGATGCATCTGGCAAGTGACCTGTCTATTGGTGAATTGATAAGAAATAGAGCCAAAGGATTCCTCAAGTGGGGATAAGTCTGACCTACGGTTGGGGAACCAGATGCCAAAAGAATCATTGCAGGTAGAAGGACACCAACAGGACTGTGGTTAATTAATGAAAGCAGAAACAGACACTTTCCCAGGTGGCGCTAGTGGTAATGATCCTGCCTGCCAATGTGGAGATGTAAGAGACTTGGGTTTGATCCCTGAGTTTGGAAGATCCCCTGGAGGAGGAAATGGAAACCCTCTGCAGTATTATTGCGTGGAGAATCCCATAGACAGAGGAGCCTGGTGGGCTACATACAGTCCATGGGGTCGCAAAGAGTCAGACATGACTGATCAACTAACACTTACTTAGACACCTGAAGGTGTATTTGGGATTCATGAGTCATAAAGGGCAGTAGGAAGCCCAAAAGATTTTCCTCAGATTCAACACTACAGAAATATGTAGGTAAAAGTAATATACGTATGAATGAAGAATTATCTCTAGAAAAAGTACATCAAGTTGCAAACTGGTTAGAGAAATATTACAACAACTTGTAAGGCTGATGCCTATTGATCTGGATGGGTCTCCCTGTTCTGAACTGTTTTCTCAGGTTCACTTCTGATTTGAGCCTCTGGGGGAAGGGGCGTGGCCCCCTGAGTCACGGGTCTGCTCTGGGGCCTGGCAGGGACGGTGACATCTCAGAAGGACTCCCTGGAGAGCCCCTCTCTCCTCTCATCCACACTCAGACCAGAGGGCCCTCCACCTGCCCCACCCCCGCCATGAGCCCCTGCCTCCTGGGCTGTGTGGTCTGCTGTCTCCTGCAGGCAGGTGAGTCCTGGGGACTGGGTCTCCTTGCGGGTGCCAGCACGAAGCATGTCCGCTGTGACTGTAGCATCGGTCCTCCTTCTCCACAGGGGTGGTCCACGCTGGTGTCACCCAGGACCCCAGATTCCAGGTCGTGAGGACAGGACAGAGCGCCACACTTAATTGTACTCAGGATCTGAACCATGATTATATGTGTTGGTACCGACAAGACCTGGGACACGGGCTGAGGCTGATCCATTACTCAGTTATCCCTCCTGCCACAGAGAAAGGAGATGTGCCTGAGGGGTACAGCATCTCCAGACCAAATACACAGAGAACTTCCCTCTGACGCTGGAGTCTGCCAACAGCTCCCAGACATCTGTGTACTTCTGGGCCAGCAGTGACTCCCCAGCACTGCACGGCCACCTCCAGTCTGTACAAAAAGATAAGGGAATCCCTGCGGCCTGGAAGTAGGAGAGCCCCATGCAGGCTTCTCACACGCGGAGCCTCGGAGACCAGGGCCAGACGTCTGCAGTGTGACACTGAGTGTGCAGACTCTTATCACGCCCAGCTACATCTACGTTAAATATAGTGCACGGTTGGTTTTTTTAATTTCAAATCTTTATAACTTTAAAATGAAATGGGTTAATATATATAATCTCTGTATATAAATTCATTACCTAGAATTTAGTAATAATTTATATAGAAAATCTAGAAATATGTGGATCTGATTAATCAGTGGGATCTATGGAAAGCACTGTCCCAGGCTGTATTCACCTGAGCTCATCAGAGCATCTGTATTGAAGGTTTGTGTGATTCCACCTTAGCATATGACTGCCAGTGAAATTATTTTCTTTTTAATGGAAATGTTGGTTTCTACAGTCTTTTACCTCCAGAGGCTAAGAGGGAATTTGAAGACCAATCTGAAGTCAGCCAGGTTGGGAAGACAGTAGAACAAGTGTGTGTGTGTGTTTGTGTGTGTGTGTTCAGGGTGTGGGGTGTTTACATTCTTGCTTTAGACAGAAGGCAGAGATCCATGAGACTCTGGACCTTTGGCCACTAGGAAGGCACTGTGGGCCCCTGGTAAGCAGGGGAACTTGGGAGGGGTGGAGATTCACCCTGGGGAGGGCAGCTTTAAGGAACCTTGGCTACATGCCTGCCTGAGAAAGCAGGATTGATATCCCTGAGATCCTGAGGTCCCAGGACACGTGGAACCAGTAGAGACTCCTCACTGCCAGGGAAATTGGGGATGTACCTGGATCCTCAGGATGTGCCCGGGAGATGATCTCCTGGAGCTGCAAGGGAAGTGGAGGTGAGGGTGTTGGGGTGGCTGGTGAGGGCTGGGTGATTGTCAGCTGATTGCCTGGTGATTCCCAGCCAGGTGAGTGCCTGGCTGAGTGTCAGGCAGGGGCAGGCAGAGGAAAACGAGCTATGTTGTGGGCATATGGGAGTGGGGCACCCTTCACACCCACCCCTTGCTCAGGGTCTGTGAAGGGCATAGAATGGTATAGAGGGCCCACCTTTGGTCCTGGCAAGGAGTACAGTGGAAAAGAGCAACCTGCAGAGACACAGAGCAGTCATAGGCAAATGCTCCAATCAGGGAAGCAGGAGCGTCAGCACTTTACACCACTGACCCCAGGAGTCCCACCCACAGCCAGCTGCAGTCTTGGGATCCTGATGCTGCCATGAGCTACAGTTCTCTACTGTGTGACTCTGCTTCCTGGGAGCAGGTGAGTCCTGGACACAGTGTTGGAGCTTCTGAGATGTCTTTGCCTCCCTGAGACAGAAGCCCGGCGATGAGGGCTGTAGCAGGAGGCTTCCCTGTGCTCTGCCCTCAGCTTCCTTCTGTCTCCTCCTGAACAGGCCTGCTGGATTTTGAAGTCACCCAGACCCCCAAATACCTGATCAAATCAAGAAAGCAGCAAGTGAGGCTGAGATGTTCCCCTGAATCTGGACATCTCTCTGTGTACTGGTACCAACACGCCCTGGGTCAGGGCCCCCAATTCCTCATTCAATATTACAACAGGGAAGTTAATGAGAAAGGAAACACATCAGATTGATTCTCAGGAGAACAGTTCAGTGATCTTTGCTCGGAGCGGAAGTTGGGCTCCTTGGAGCTGACAGACTCAGCCCTGGATCTCTGTGCCAGCAGCCAAGACAAAGCCCTGCATGACCAGGTGCCTCTGGGACAAAAACACTCCTGCCCCAGCTCAGGAAGTGGTAGTGAGTGTGTGGACTGCCAGCCTGGCAAGCCCAGTCCCTTCTAGAGTAGACAGTCTTCCCCAGATGTTCATTTCTTGATATATTTTAGTGCTCACAGAGGTCATGCAAGGTACATATTATTTTAACTGTTACACATCTGAGTGAACATGATTTGCCCAGATCTCATACTTCATAATTATTGTAGCAAGAACTCTGACTCAAGTCTGTTCTCAGCACCTGTGGCCCCTTGCCCCCAGTGGGACTGCCTCCCTACAGAACAAATTAGATATGCATGGCGGTCATGTGTAACAAGACAGAGTTTGGGGCTCTGTGATACGAATTGTTATCCAGTGAATGGCAGCCCTGCTTCACAAGGAGGTATTCCCATGGGAGGAATCTCTCAAAGAAAAACAGAGCAGTTTTTGTTTATTCTGGAGTCTGCATCTCCCTCCATGTCCCTCCTAAGTCTGCATTCCTTTGTGCCAATAAGTCACCCATGCTGGGCAACCAGCTTCTCTCCATTCAGAAAGGTGGGTCACAGGCCTGAGGGTATCTGCTTGCTCCCTCCCCGGACCTGGGGAGCAGGGGCTCCTGTGAACCTGAAGGAGCTGTACCTGCCTTTGGCTGGTGGACCAACTGTCAGTGAATTGATAAGAAACAGACCAAACAACTCCTCAGTGTTGATGAGCTTGTGATAAGGTTAGGATCAGACACCTGGAGAAACATGGTAGTTGGAGAGACATTCTCAGGACTGCAGTCAATTAAAGTGCAAATAGGCCTTGAAGTCCTATTGGGACACATGAGTCATAAGGGGCAACAGGAGGCCAGAAGGATTTCCCCAAGACTTAAAACTACAGAAATATGCAGATAAATAAATGTAATGTATGTGTTAATGAAAAATTATCTCTGGACTAGAACATACAAAAATTTGATCAGTTTCACAGAAAGATTACAGCAACTTATACGGCTTATGTCTGGTGAGCTGTATGGGTCTCCCTGTTATGAACTGTTCACTCAGGTTTGATAGCTTACGTTGAAAGGTGTCGGATTCATGATTTCCGAAGACGATTTAGCTTCGGGACCAGGGACCACTCTTGATCACTCAAGAGATTTTGTGTAGCTGAGTTTTACTAAAGTATAAAAAGGGACAAGGAAAGCTTCTGACATAAAACATTGAAGGGGGAGGGAGAGTGCCCCCACTTGCTAGTCTTGTCAATTATACAATTTTATCAGACCCACTCACAAGATACATCTTAAATTAACAAGATTAGAACTGACAATAGAAAGGTCTCACCGAACCCACTTCCACAAAATATATCTTAAGATAACAAGATTAGTTAGAAGGTTCTTGGGAAGGAGAAACATCTCCTTGAGCAAGATACAGTGCTCTATTGACTAAACAAAGCAATGTAGAAAAAATGTTCTTTTCTCCTTGAGAGCCCTGGACCCCTTTCACCTTCTCTAGGGCTCTGGGCTTATTTCTCTTCCTCGGGGACCCTGGACTTCTTATCAACCAGTCTAGGAAGTGACTCTCTGAGGTTCATCTTTGATTTGAGCCTCTGGGGGAAGGGGCGTGGCCCTCTGAGTGACAGGTCTGCTCTGGGGCCTGGCAGGGATGGTGACATCTCAGAAGGACTCCCTGCAGAGCCCCTCTCCCCTCTCATCCACACTCAGACCAGAGGGCCCTCCGCCTGCCCCACCCCCGCCATGAGCCCCTGCCTCCTGGGCTGTGTGGTCTTCTGTCTCCTGCAGGCAGGTGAGTCCTGGGGACTGGGTCCCCTTGGGGGTGCCAGCCCTGAGCATGTCCGCTGTGACTGCAGCATCGGGCCTCCTTCTCCACAGGGGCGGTCCACGCGGGTGTCACCCAGGACCCCAGATTCCAGGTCGTGAGGACAGGAGAGAAGGCGACACTGAAATGTACTCAGGATATGAACCATGATTATATGTACTGGTACCGACAAGACCCGGGACACGGGCTGAGGCTGATCTATTACTCAGCTGGTGCGCCCAGTAGCGAGCCGGGAGATGTGCATGAGGGTTACAGCGTCTCCAGATCAAACAAACAGAACTTCCCTCTGACGCTGAAGTCTGCCAACCGCTCCCAGACATCTGTGTACTTCTGCGCCAGCAGTTACTCCACAGCGCTGCACGGCCACCTCCTCTCTGTGCAAAAATTACTAGGTGCCCACAAGCAGGCTCCTAGCACCAGAAAACTTGGGCCTTTGCTGGCCACGTGCCTGCAGTGTGACCCTGGGTGTGTGGACAACACTGCCCCAACCTCACTCCCGGGCCTTGGGGCCATGTGTCCACCATGGGTCTCTTTGTCTTTCCACTGCATCCTCCCTGTGAACCAGGAAGATGCTTCCCCAGTTCTGACTCCTAGTCATCACCTGAGCCTCTAGGAGGGAAGGATGTTGGTCAATTAGATTTAAATAGGCCCTCCTGTCTTACCTCAGGCACTTCCTCAATGTCTCTCTGGAAGGTTCTCCCCCAGCCTGACTCTCACATGCTCTCTTCTCTTGCCCACTGTTCCCAGGCGGGCAGGACATTCCTCTCCCCACCTCTCTGCATCAGCTCCCTGGCCCTCTCTCCCATAGCCACAGGCTCCTCCCTCATCTGGCTCAGGTCCCTTCTCATTGTGCAGGGAGGCTTCTAAAATGGCCCCTCCACGTGCTCTGCTTTGAGCAAGCTCGATGGAATCATCAAAGAGACATCAACTCCAGTTAATCATCAATCATCCAAAAACTCATGGGAGTTCACCTCGGGGGGACAGATGATCTTTGTGTGTTCTCCCACCTTCCCGCCCGCCCTGACTTCCTTAGCATCTCATCTAACCAAGGCCAGGTTGCCACCACCTGGCGCCCTCATCAAAATCTTCTCAAAGTCAAAATATATCATACATCACCCCCATTATATCAAGATTTTATAAGTGCAGAAATAAATCAGTTCATGTTTCTAAAACTTCTTTATAAAAAGTTTTATCTAGGATTTGATAATGCTCAATTTAAATACACAATCTGGAAATACATACATCTGATTAATCCCAAGTAGTTATGGAACACATGTTTGCTGGCAGATTCATTGAGATCCTCAGAGTATTCTATGATTATATATTTCCATCTTAGATAACTACATCATTGTAGTGGTGCTGCAATCAATTCACTCTCAGTATAAAGTTTGGCTCATAAAGTCTTCTGCCTCCAGAGGCTAAGAGTGAATTTGAAGATAAACCCTATCAGCCAGGATAGGGAGGCAGTAAAACAGATGTGTGTGTGTGTGTGTGTGTGTGTGTGTGTGTGTGTGTGTGTGTGTGTGTGTGCAGGGTCCTGGATTTTTGTACCCTTGCTTTAAACAGATGGTGCAAATCCATGAGACCCTGGACTTTTGGCCACTTGGAGGCACTGTGTCTCCAAGGTAAGTAGGGTGTATTGGGAGGGGTTGAGAATCTCTCTGGAGAGGGCAGTTTAAGGGAACCTTGGCTATATCATGCCTGCATCTGGAAGGAGGTTTGAGTTCCCTGAATTGTTCCAAGACACATGGAACCAGCACAGACTCCTACCCTGCCCAGGGAACTGGGGACATTCCTGGAACCTCAGGATGTTCACGGTGGTCATATCCTGGATCAGCATGTGAGGAGGAGGTCTTGGGGCTGAGTGTCAGGCAGAGGAAAATAAGACATGTTGTGGGCACATGGGACCAGGGGATGAAACTCACCTCACACCCAAACTTGCTGAGGGGCTGTCAGGACAGGGAATGGCATAGAGGAGCCAGCCATGGGTAATGCTAAGGGGTCCAGTGAAGAAAGGGCAGCCTGCAGAGACACAGAGCAGTGACATCATAGGCAAAGGCTCCAATCAGGGAAGCAGGAGGGTCAGCACTTACTCCACTCACCCCAGGAGCCCTGTCCCCAGCCAGCAGCAGCCTTGGGTTCCTGATGCTGCCATGGGCTCCAGGCTCCTCTGCTGTGTAACTCTCTGCCTCCTGGGAGCACGTGAGTCCTGGACACAGTGTGGGAGCTTCTGAGATGTTTTCTCACCCTGCGACAGAAGCCCGGTGATGAGGGTTGAAGCAGGAGGCTTCCCCTGCGCTCTGCCCTCTGCTTCCTTGTCTCCTCCCTACAGGCCTGGTAGATTCTGGAGTCACCCAGACACTCAAGTACCTGATCAAATCAGGAAAACTGCAAGTGACGCTGAGATGTCCCCTGACTCTGGACACTGCTCTGTGTACTGGTACCAACAGGCCCTGGGCCAGGGCCCCAGTTCCTCATTCAGTTTTACAACAGGGAAGTTGGTGAGACAGGAAACATATCAGATCGATTCTCAGGAGAACAGTTCAGTGATTTTCCCGCGGAGCTGAACTTGGGCTCCTTGGAGCTGACGGACTCAGCCCTGTATCTCTGTGCCAGCAGCCAAGACACAGCCCTGCATGACCAGGTGCCTCTGGGACAAAAACACCCCTGCTCCAGCTCAGGAAGTGGTGCCCAGGATGTCAGCTGCCAGCCTGCCAAGCCCAGTCTCTGGTAGAGTGATAGACTTTCCCAGACATTCATTTCTTTAAAACACTCATTCATAGAATGCTTTAATGCTCACTAAGATCATCAAGACAAGTATTATTTTAACTCTTTGTACATCTAAGGGGACAGGAATTGCCCAGATCTCATACTTCATAACTTACAACTAGGCTTCTGCTCAAGTTTGTTCTCAGCACCTGTGGTTCCTTTCCTCATGGAATTTCTCCATACAGAGCAAATTCCATATACGTGCTGGGCTATGTGTAACAGAGACCATGTGGGGCTGTAAGATATGAACTGTTGCTCAATGAATGGCAGCTGTGCATCGCAAGGAGGTATTCCCATGGAAAGAATTTCTCAATAAATAAAGAGCATTTTTAATTACTCTGGAGTCTACCACTTCTTGCCATGTCCTTCCTACGTCTGTATTCCTTTGTGCCAATATGTCATCTGGGGTGGTGGGCAACCAGCTTCTCTAAACCCAAAAAGGTGGGTCACAGGCCTGAGGGGGCTCTGCTTGTTCCCTCCCCTGACACGGAAAACACGGGCTCCTGTGAACTTGAACGAGCTGTCTCTGCATTTAGCTGGTGGACCGTCTCTCAGTGAATTGATAGATTGACCAAACAACTCCTCAAATGTAGATGAGCGTGCAATGAGTTTGGGAGCAGATTCCTGGAGAAACATGGTAGGTGAAGGGATAATCTTAGGACTGTGGTTAATTATGCAGAAATGGAACCTTGAAGTCCTACTGGGTCACATCAGTCATAAAGTCAACGGAAGCCAGGAGGATTTCCACAAGATTTAACACTACAGAAATATGCAGATAAATACAAGTAATAAATGTATTAATGAAGAATTATCTCTGGACTAGAACACACACAAAATTTAATTAGTTTGACAGAAAGTTTACATCTACTTGTGAGGCTTATGTCCACTGAGCTGATTGGATCTCCCTGTTGTGAACAGTTCACTTAGGTTCACTTCTGATTTGAGCATCTGGGGGAAGGGGCGGGGCCCCCTGAGTGACAGGTCGGCTCTGGGGCCCTGCAAAGACAGGGACATCTCAGAAGGACTGGCTGGAGAGCCCCTCTCCCCTCTCATCCACACTCAGACCAGAGGGCCCTCCGCCTGCCCCGCCCCCGCCATGAGCCCCTGCCTTCTGGGCTGAGTGGTCTTCTGTCTCCTGCAGGCAGGTGAGTCCTGGGGGCAGGGTCCCCTTGGAGGTGCCAGCACTGAGCATGTCCGCTGTGACTGCAGCATCGGTCCTCCTTCTCCACAGTGGCGGTCCACGCTGGTGTCACTCAAGACCCCAGATTCCAGGTCCTGAGGACAGGACAGAGCACAACACTTAATTGTACTCAGGATCTGGGTCATAACTCTATGTACTGATACCGACAAGATCCGGGACACGGGCTGAGGCTGATTCATTACTCAGTTGCTGCTCCCTCCACGGTGCAAGGAGATGTGCCCAACGGGTACAGCGTCTCCAGACCAAGCACAGAGAAGTTCCCTCTGACGCTGAATCCTGCCAACCGCTCCCAGACATCTGTGTACTTCTGTGCCAGCAGTGACTCCACGGTGCCGCACAGCCACCTCCTCTCTGTGCAAAAAGGCAGATGAGCACCCTGCAGCCTGAAACTTGGGGATCCCCTTGCAGGCTCCTAGCACCTGGAGACTCGGAGCCCACAGACACACACTGGTAGCATAGCCTGCAGTTTTGATCTTGGCTGGCACAGACCTGACAACAGGGCCTCATGATCATATGTCCACTTTCACTCTGTCTTTTCACCGTAGCTGCCAGGTGAACCTAACATGCTACCAGCTCTGACTTCTAGTATCAGTCTGATCATGAGGCCTCTAGGAGGAAAGGTTGTTGGGAAATCAGATACATCTAGTCCCTCTTTTCTCTCCCCGGGGCACCACATGCCTGTCGCTGTGGAAGGTTCTCCCCCAAGCTGGCCCTTGTGTGGTCTCTACTCTTGTCCAACTTCCCCAGATGTGGGGTCTTTCCTCTCACATCTTCCTGGCCCTTGTTCCCACCCTTCTCTACTTCAGCCTAGCTGCTCCTCCCTCATCTGGGTCATTTCCTTGCCTATCACCCAGGGAACCTCATAATGATCCCTACTTGGTCGTGTTTGAGTAGGTTCTTTGGGGTCCTCAAACTGAATGCAACTTCAGTTAATTATTAATCATCCAAAATTCCTTGCTAGTCCCTAAAGAGAAGGACAGACAAGCTGTGTGTGTATGTATTCTCCACCACTGCCTGTCTTTAGCATCTAAATAGCCTAGACCCTGATGCTGGAAAAGACTGAAAGCAAGACAAGAAGGTGGTGGCCGAGAAAGGGGTGGTTAGATAGCATCTCTGACTCAACAGACATGAATTTGGGCAACCTCTGGGAGATAGTGAAGACCAGGGGAGCTTGGTGCACTGTGATGCATGGGGTCTCAAAGAGATGGACTCCAGTTAGCAATTGAACAACACCACCAACAACAAAAGCTAACCCAAGTTTGTAGCATCTCCTTCATCACAATCTTCTAAAAGTCAAAGTATTAAATATTTCCTGCATGAGCACATTTCTTTTCTTGTGAAATACAAAATTATAGATCAGCTATGGCAGGCTGCTGTGTGTCTTTTTGTTTCTAATTGTGTGTGTGTCCTTTTGAAAAACAAAAGAAAAACACAGTGCGAATGGCAAACAGTGAAATATTTTCTAATATGAACACATCCCATGACTGTTAAATTTGGGCAGACAATTTTGGTTTCCATGCATAGACCACATGGGGACGCTGTAGAACTGCCAAACTCCAGAAATTTCTGGGGCAGAGCAAGGGGACAGTGCTAGTGCCTGGGACTAGAAGGGTTAAGAGAAAGCTTCATTTGGTGTTTTTATCTCTAGAAGCCTGTTCTTCAGCGATCAGCTTTCTTTATAGTCCAACTCTCACATATGCACGTGACTACTGGAAAAATCATAGTGCTGACTAGATGGACCTTTGTTGGCAAATATATTGCCTCTGCTTTTTAATACGCTGTCTAGGTCGGTCATATGTGAACTGTTCACTTAGGTTCATTTCAGATTTGAGCCTCGGGGGGAAGGGGCGTGGCCCCCTGAGTGGCAGGTCGGCTCTGGGGCCTGGCAGGGACACTGACATCTCAGAAGGACTCCCTGCAGAGCCCCTCTCCCCTCTCATCCACACTCAGACCAGAGGGCCCTCCGCCTGCCCCGCCCCCGCCATGAGCCCCTGCCTCCTGGGCTGTGTGGTCTTCTGTCTCCTGCAGGCAGGTGAGTCCTGGGGGGCAGGGTTGCTTTGGGGGTGCCAGCACTAAGCGTGTCTGCTCTGACTGCAGCATCGGTCCTCCTTCTCCACAGGGGCGGTCCAGGCGGGTGTCACCCAGGACCCCAGATTCCAGGCCGTGAGGACAGGACAGAGGGCGACACTTAATTGTACTCAGGATATGAATCATGATAATATGTACTGGTATTGACAAGACCTGGAACAGGGGCTGAGGCTGATCCATTATTCACCTGTGACTCCCTACACGGAGAAAGGAGACGTGCCCGATGGGTACAGCGTCTCCAGACCACGCACAGAGAACTTCCCTCTCACGCTGAAGTCTGCCAACTGCTGCCAGACATCTGTGTGCTTCTGTGCTAGAAGTTACTCCACGGCGCTACAGGGCCACCTGCTCTTTGTGTAAAAATGCAGAGAACGCCCTGCAGTCTGAACCTTGGGGAGCCCCTTGCAGGCTCCTAGCACCAGGAGACTCGGAGCCCACAGACACACTGGCAGCATATCCAGTAGTTTTAGATCTTGGCTGGCACAGACCTGAGAACAGGGCCTCATGGACTTGTGTCCACCTTTCAGTCTCTGTCTTTTCACCGTAGCTCCAACATGAGCCTAAAGATGCTAGCGAGCTCTGAGTCCTAGTATCAGTCTGAACAGGAGGCCTCCAGGAGGGAAGTGTGTTGGGAAATCAGATATATGTAGACCCTCTTGTCTCTCCCCGGGCACCACATGCCTGTCGCTGTGGAAGGTTCTCCCCAAGGCTGGCCCTTGTGTGGTCTCTGCTCTTGTCCAACTTCCGCAGATGTGGGGTCTTTCCTCTCTCACCTAAGGGCCCTCATTCCGACCCTTCTCTACTTCAGCCTTGCTTCTCCTCCTTCATCTGGGTCAAGGCCTAGAGTACCACCCAGGGAACCTTGTAATGATCCCGACGTGGTCCTGTTTGAGCAGGCTCCCTGGGGCCCTCAGAGAGAACGCCCCCGCAGTCAGTGATGAGTCACCCGTGACCCCTCTGTGGCCCCTCAGCAGAGGGAGGGACGAGCGGTGAGTGTGTCTCCACCACGGCCTGTCTGTAGCATCGACATAGCCTGGACCCTGATGCTGGGAAAGACTGAGAGCAAAAGGAGAAGGGGGTGGCAGAGAAAGAGGTGGTTAGATAGCATCAACAGACATGAGTTTCAGCACACGCTGGCAGATAG